AAAAAAAATGTAAATATGTAAACAACTTAAATTGTATTTAGAAACCCTTAGAAAATATGATCAAGTTTGTGTTGTAAGATTGCAACACAATCACTTTCCAAAGTTTGCAGCTTTCTAAAAGAGTGATACAATTATTTACAACGCAGAGTTCTACATTTATAAGATCAAAATTAAAATTAACTAGGAGCAACTTACTTCACTATATTCATAACTTATCGGAGGAATAAGGTCATCTTTGTATACTTTTGAAGCGTCAGTTAACTGAGCATTCACCAACTCAATACCTTCATTTATTCTCTTCCGTACTTGGTACAATCTATTCAGAACCATATTCTTGCGTTGATTCTACAGAATTACACCATGAACAAGAACAGAGTACTACAGAATAGTTTCAAACAAGCAAAAAGTACTTTGATATACGGCTGTTTTAATAACGGATGTGAAACAACAGAAATATTGACCTAAAAATACAAAAATATGGGGTGACAAGGCTCCTTATAAGTTCTACTTCATATTTTCGATGACAAAAAACAGACAAATGGCATGGACGTTTTTTTTTGAAAATGTTGGATAAATTCGGTCGTCACTATCCAAATGTCAGAGATTTAATAAATTATAAATTGATAGAGTAAATTATGATTTATTCAAAGCTTTTCAAAATACTTCAACTAAAAGCTTCCCTTCGGAACTATAATGATAATTTAAAAATTCTGTGAATGGAATACCGGTTTTGATCGTGTCAAGCGAGCATTTTTGCTGGGTATTTGTCAACTTATCTCAATTAGTGACTAAAAAATTCCTTAAAATGAGTTAACCTTGGAAAGATTGCTCCTTCTATTTCCTTGATTGAAGGAACAAGAAAGAGTACTATCTAGAACCATATCTAGCAGTGTAACAATCAACTGAGCGAATGAAAGCACCTGTAGTACCATACTGCAATGCCGCAGTATTGAGTGAAAACAAAAAGGACCCATGGAAAATTTTGAAGAAACGGCAGCTGTAAACAATAAGCACGAGGTAATTTTCGTAATGAGTTTTGAAAATTCAAGGGGATTTATCAATAGTCAAAAATATGAGATTCAGGTGTATAGTTTCGTTGCAAACTATTATAAAAAAATTCTTTAAAAGAATGCTTATAAATCACGATAGTAAATTTAATAAAAGATAGTGCTGAATTATTGGAAGAAACTGCAAGACAGCTTATAAGCTTGAGTTCTAAATCTCTCATAACTTATGAAAATGGATACTGAAATTGCTAAAGCTTGAAGACAACATACCAAAAACCGAATCCTGGACTTCAGCAAGATTTGGCAAGCAGTGCAGCAATTTCTCGACATTAACCTGTGCAATTATCTAAAAATTATATAAAATTCTCAAAACTTCACGTGCTGTCATCGTCTATATCAGAGATTTAACTAATGATAAAGCAATGAAGCAAATAGAAATTTATTCGAAACTTCCAGAAAAACTTCCCAAAAGTATAGTGATACTTTTAAAAGATCTTGAATTAAATACTGCAGATGGAAGTATACCTAATTCACGGAGCTATATAAATTTTATGTATGCATTGCACTTGGTGAATCTTAATAAATTTTAATAGTTAATAGGAACATCTATAATTATTAAAAAATTCAAGTTATATGTAAGATGAATGATAACAGTATGTAATATTCAGTGATTAAAATTTTTACTAAATGATTTTTTCACTATTCATTTTTAAAAATAACTTACATTAGAAGACCTAATATTCTCTGAATACTCAACTACACTGACAGATGATTTCAAAAGAAGCAACAACAGATCAATTTTGGGTGTATTTACGAGTTCATTCAAGTGAAGTGGTATTGAAGATTGCAATAAATCAGGCTGAAAAAGATTTTTTTAAATGATGTAATTTTTTATTCCAATATTTAAAAGTGACTGAAATTTGCAATTACCAATTATTTTCAACAAAAATTATGCCAATGTCACCTGATTATCGCCCTCTTTATATATTTGTTTGCAGTGGTCCACGTGCTTCCTTAACTGTTCTACAAAAGTGGACAGGTGTTTTGAAGTCGATTTGGAACGACCAATGGCAGCAATTGATTTCATCAACAAATGACTTAGTTTCATAGCATCACACTGAAAACAATTTACTATCGTTTACTGCATTCATTCAAGACGAAAACTGACAATTGGAAAAAGATGTAACAAAATTCCAACTTGTTCATTGAAAGTGTATTGTTTTAGCCTATCAATCCTTTCCTGTTCGTTTATAACATCAAATGAAAGCAAAATACCGAAATCACGATTATCTTCAAGTACAAGGAAGTCTAAAATGTGTTCAAATATTTCTGCTGTAATCTAATTTAAATAAAGATTTGGTAATAAATTCTAAATCAGATCAAAAGTTACCGCAATTAAACTTATTGATCAGAGCAAATAATTCCTGACAAAATATTTTATTACTTTATGCTTAATGAGATCTTTACAGTAGATGTAAGCAATGTTCACAATGACATTTACTTAAGATCAAAGCTATCAAATTACTTGCCAATTGGTTCTTCGTCCCCATACATAGTATCGATAACATGTTGAACTTTATCAACCGCAAAACAAGCACTTAAAGCCCGATTTAAAATATCGGCACCAACAGCCATACATGATTTATTGATTTTATTAAGGAATTCAACTACTCGTGGCACTTGTAAAAATGTACCATTTTTGTAGGCAGTAGTTAAGCATTCAGATGCCTAAAATACAAACTGATATAATTCATTCGATAAAAATTTTTGAATTGAAAAATTAAATTTTCATTCGCTGAAACTATTTTTACAGACATATAACGGCGAAGATATGAAATGTATTTTGAAAAATAATAATAAAAAAACTTTCTGATGCTATTCAAGCGCCTAATACAAAGGACACTACTGAGTTTACAGAGTGATTCAAAATCGTATGCTACGATCAGAACGATTGTGCAGAGTAACATTTGAAGAACTACTAAAAAATCTTGAAAACTATGCAAGTATCAAGGAAATAAGCCAACTTCTCTTTCTGTTTGATCAAAGAAGGCAGCAAGTTCCGTATAATGAAGAATGGCATTACCAAATCGACCATACTGCTCCAACAAGCCATAAATGAGATAACCTAAGAAAACTGTTATAAATATGAATTACTGATAATTTTTAATCACGCTCAGGAAAATTCTTTAGCAAGAACACTCTCCATAGTCTTTTATTAGCACTTTTGTTGATAAAACAAAA